ATGACGTACCATGAAATTACTTACTATCCTATTGCTAACCTGATAACTCCAATTTTCTCAATGAATCCCTTAGCTGTCTCATATTCATGACAGACCTTCTCACTGATGTTTTTTGTCATGGGGGTATCAACAAAGCTCGGACAAAGGATATTCAACCTTATTCCGTTGTCGATAGTTGAAGGATTCATCTGCAACATTAAATACAAATCATGTAAGCTTTGCCTTCAACAATAAATCCAGAAATAATGGTATTATATTAAATAGCCATGGATCATTTTATTGATTTTATAATGGTTCCACATAACGACCGCTCAGTAGGCCTCAGAGGTTAGAGCGTTCGTCCGGATGCAATAGGTCGTGGGTTCGAACCCCGGCCGAGTCATACCAATGATTGATACAAATGGTACAAGTAGCTTCTTTACTTGGCGCTAAGCATTAAAAAGATAGCGTTACGGCTGGCCAGCCTGGTGTCATGATAAAGTGACTGGGTGGGATATGATGCTACATGTCTGCGGCATGATTCTCCAATGCTAGACATACTAAGACATCGAAGCGAGATGACTGAACAAGAGCTAATGCTTCGTTAAAAATCCAAATCACACATACACGCACACACACACGTACACTCACACACATAACATTCTTATGTACAAAATAATGTGGATAAATTCTTTTTTTACTCGAATAAATATCTTAAACGTATAAAATCCGAGTGCTGTTGCAAAAGAAATGATCTTCCAGTTTGTTATGTAAGAGTGTATGCATCCTTATAGATTGTCAAAAAAATTATAAAAACACCGATAGCTTTATACATGGATAAACGAGCAAGTGAATGGATGAATAGTGGAATAAATAGATAAATGTTGATAACCACTTATCCCATTTCAGCCATCTGTACTTAATATTTTCCACTAAAATTAGATATAAAATAACTGCTCATCCCATTTCAGCCATCTGTACCTAATATTTTCCACTAAAATTAGATATAAAATAACTGCTCATCCCATTTCAGCCATCTGTACTTAATATTTTCCACTAAAATTAGACATAAAATAACTGCTCATCCCATTTCAGCCATCTGTACTTAATATTTTCCACTAAAATTAGACATAAAATAACTGCTCATCCCATTTCAGCCATCTGTACTTAATATTTTCCACTAAAATTAGACATAAAATAACTGCTCATCCCATTTCAGCCATCTGTACCTAATATTTTCCACTAAAATTAGATATAAAATAACTGCTCATCCCATTTCAGCCATCTGTACTTAATATTTTCCACTAAAATTAGACATAAAATAACTGCTCATCCCATTTCAGCCATCTGTACTTAATATTTTCCACTAAAATTAGACATAAAATAACTGCTCATCCCATTTCAGCCATCTGTACTTAATATTTTCCACTAAAATTAGACATAAAATATTTGCTCATCCCAATTCAGCCATCTGTACTTAATATTTTCCACTAAAATTAGACATAAAATAACTGCTCATCCCATTCCAGCCATCTGTACTTAATATTTTCCACTAAAATTAGACATAAAATAACTGCTCATCCCATTTCAGCCATCTGTACTTAATATTTTCCACTAAAATTAGACATAAAATAACTGCTCATCCCATTTCAGCCATCTGTACTTAATATTTTTCCATTAAAATTAGACATAAAATAACTGCTCGTCCCATTTTAGCCATTTGTACTTGATATTTTCCACTGAAAATGGATATAAAATGTTTAATTTGATTTTTAAACAAATAATTATTCCCTTAAGGTTTAGTCTTAGATAAAGTAAGAACGGAGAATCCATGTCGTAGTCCATGTGTACACGTGCAATTTTAATATTTTAATGACCCGTAAATATACAACTGCTTATAGTGTTTCCATAAAATGAATACTTTGCTCTCTTTTTTATTTGGTTTCATCTATTACTCCACAGCAGCGCACATTGGTTATGCGGGGGCGAGGCAACTGGAATTAGATCTCTACATGAAACACTGTGTCAATCAACGTTACCATGTTGGTTGTTAGTGGTATTTTTTATTTTTAATGTGAATTTTATTTGGCAACATCTCCTAAGAAAACGATCTTACTGCAAACTATCGAGGCCATATAGCAAAAACGTTTTTATTCAGCAAACTCGAGACAGCCAGACGGTAGACACTAGTCAATCACATAAATTTTGTAATACCCTAACTCAATTTCTCCACCATGCGTTATCAAAAAATTTATATCAAATCTACAATCTACATGGAAAGCCACTTGGCCAAAAACGTGTAATTTTTCTCGTCCTTTAAGTTTGGAGGCAATTCGGAAAAAACTGATCTAAATCAGTCATATATTCAAGACAGTATGAATGCAAATTCTCAAAGCTCAAAATTATTCTCTCTGATCACGTATTGGAAGAGCAATGTAAATTGCGAAGCACAAATTCAGGATGTCGAGTCTTGAATAAGCCATCGAGATCGGTATCCAGGTAGAGAGGAAGAGTGATTAAAAGACGTTCCGATTTGCTATCTTGATGTTTGCTTATTAAAGCCTTCAAAACTCGGACTTCTGTTCTTTTAAATACGTGATCATTTGATTTAGACATTTCCAAAGTAGTCTCTAGAGATTGCTTATTGGAACTTCGAATACTTGCATTAAAGCCTCGAGAACCTAAACTTTTCATGTTATGGACACGATAACCTGTCAGATAATTTAATTGACCTTACACCAGACGATAGATCGCTCCGCCTACCAAATCATGTGATGTAACCTCCGACAAACATACAGTATTAGGCAAAGAAATATGTTTCAGTGTACGCAATGTTTATTTAATGTGATATGTATTATTCTATAAAAAAAGTAAAATTACAAAGTTGCATTAACTATACTGCAGTAGACAAAATTTATGTATGTAGTTCAAGTTCGTACATTAATAACCTAAGTGTTTTATTTCAGTAAATAATAACAATCAATTGTAAATCTGTTTAAGAATATATTCATATGAAAGCAAATTAGCCATAAAAGATGCTGATGTATTTAGCATATAATGTCATCCACGTTAATTTTATCTGACCTATGTTTATGATGCCTTGGTAGTATATAAATTAAAAATTAATAACAAAATCGTAAATAATGCTTAGAAGTATACTGCTGTACATAATATTATTAAGGTCTACTATGATAGTAAGATGGAATTTTGATCGATAATGTATGTTGATGTAAACATGTAAATGCATGTTTAACATATCGGAAGATAATTATTTGATACCTTATATTTCGTATTTCTTTATTACTCATTACATTTTTGTATCAATCCAATAAGAATGTAAAACGTCACTCTAGTGTCTGAAAGATCGAGACAATAAATAATTTATTTTCGGACAAACCAACATTAATCTGTTAATTTTCAAACTTTAAAATAATGCAGCCTTGGGTTCAGTGCTTCCTATACAAGAACAAATACTATATATTAAAGTCCTAAAGTTAGGGTGTTCTCCACCTATATTCTTGAAAAGTTATAACACATGTTATTTGTGGGGGGGTCAAGCTATCAACGGGACATACTTTCATGCAAACAAACACGTTGTAATTGCCATCAATTATGTCTTTATTCAGCTGATCGTATACGCGACAGGTCGTTTTCTATCGAAGTTTTGCCTGTGTTTGGGAAAAGGAATACATCTAATTCTTCCGTTTAAACGATCTGGATATTGACTGTCAGAATTACAAGACATGTTTTCACTGTTATCAATCGAGAAATCGACTAATCATTTCAAAATTTTAAATATATATCATGATCAATTCATTGTTGTTTCCAGCACTTGGTCGGAGGAAAATGGCGGACTTAAACAAATCTCGCTGATTGGTTAATTAATCCAGCGTGATTGACATGTGGCGATAGGTCAATTATGCAAAGTGGTAGTTTCGAATTTGGATCTTAACCACACGTATTGGTGAGCTCAAATACGCTTGTCATAAGGTAGAAAATTATTACTTCGGACACGAATATATAACAAAAAAAAAACTGATAGTGATGTACAAACCACTCACGGCCCAACATCGTGTGAAATGGATAACAGCAGCTTTCGTGGCACCGTAGATTGGAGAAAAGGGATTTGGATTAAGACCTGAAAATAAAAAAAATAAAATAGCAATTAATCCATATGTGCATGCATATATATATATATATATATATATATATATATATATATATATATATATATATATATATATATATATATATATATATATATATGTATGTATGTATGTATGTATGTATGTATGTGTGTGTGTGTGTGTGTGTGTGTGTGTGTGTGTGTGTGTGTAACGTGTGACGAGAGAGAGAGAGTGTTCTCTCTGGATTCTGCAGGAGAATGCTTGATATTACTAGGCAGAATTAATATTTAGTACAAATGGTAATATCATACAGCTAGGATAATTTTACATTCGTACTCAACTGCATTATAGTATTTTTAACTAAGTATTGATCGTAAAGAAATTTTGGCATGTCACGTACTAGGGATGATCAGGATGATGGCTATATCTGAAACCTGTGACAGAGGAAGAGTGAGAACTCAATGAAGTGGAAGAAACTATAATCTTGATGGGCGTACACTTCTTCATGCATGAAACTGTTTTTGGGATGGTCTCTGGCATTGAGCCCAAGACGGTAAAGGTGTGAAATATGCATGTTACAATTAAAACCATCCTGTAGCATTCGCGCAAGTGTGTGTGCGTGTGCGTGTGTGTGTGTGTGTGTGTGTGTGTGTGTGTGTGTGATTTGGATTTTTAACGTAGATTTAACAATTTTTCAGTCATATCGCTACGATGTCTGCAGTGTGGCAGTTTATAGTGATGTCTAGCACTGGGGCATCATGCCGCAGACATGTAGCATGATGTTCAACCCAGTCACATTATCCTGACACCAGGCCGACCAGTCCTAACACTAACCTCTTAATGCTGAGCGCCAGGCAAGGAAGCTGTTAGTACCATTTTTGTAATTCTTTTTTATGATTCGACCAGAGATCGTAGCCATGACCTCCCGCATCTGAGGCGGTAGCTCTAACCACTAGGCTACCGGAGCGGTTCATTCTAGTGAATGGTTTTTATGGCGGATAATGTAGAGGATGGTAGACACTGAAACTGACAAAGAAGATGCCCTACCTTATAACACATTGCCCAATGCTTGCAAAGTACCCAACAATATTTATTAGCCCCAAAATAGAACATAGAATTCGCAGTTCTTGTGTTAAACTCCGTTAACTTTTCAAATACATGATGCATATTGTCCCCGCTTCTTTGCTACAGTTTCCATAAATATTCAGCTAGATCTTTAATAATCCTAATAAATATAATGACAAATCTACTAACCTCCTGCCGACGCCATGTTGATGATATGGCCACCATTTCCGCCCTTGTCTTTTCGTAAATGCTCTATAGCCAACTGCGTGCCATGAACAACGCCTTTCTAAAACAGAAAAAACGAGGACTAAAGGAACAAGCCTTCTTCGAAGGAACTTACCCTCTACTATCTAGAATTAACTTCCAAGCATTTAAGATAAGACAATTTTTAGTTTCTACTGCCTAGTGTTCAAACCATCTCTGGTAATCTTAGGTGATATGATTTTCAAATTAGCCCCTGTGTCATCCATGTTGAGAAGATTTTCAAGTTGGATAAGATGGTGGCCATATTGCATGTACTAACTAGGCATCTCATGGAGTCTTCTGGCAAAGTCCCATACCAAGATGACCATCAGTTATCGATAACAAGATTTTCAACATGGCTACCACAATGGACGCCAAATGGGCAGCACTTTTATACAGAATCAAGAAGGCATCATACTACATTTTTAAATCAAAACTCCGGGTTGGTATAGCCAGACGTTCAAAATGAGTAACAATAACAATATTTTCATGATGGTGAGTAAGGCGGCCATATTGGATGTCCAAGCGGAACAGTTCTCAGTTAGGCTCAACTACACATGGCAAGGAGTTTGGACATGACTTTCCGTTCAGAAGGAGAAGCGAATACAAGACTTCAAGATCGCTGCTATGGCCGCTATAGTGCACTGATTGGCACCAATTGCTTTGAGAGCTAACAGGTGTCGTACAAAGTCTTTTATTGAAAACCTTATATTGATAAGACGATATATTAGGAAGCAGTAGCGAAAAGAATGGGTTTTTAATGTTCCAGATGACTCCATTTTCCTTTAAGATCAACTAGACATCATAAGGAATCTTTAAATGAAAACCCCAGCTAATATGACAACGCAATCAGATGGAATATCAACAACAAAATTTGTAAGATGGCTGCAGCGGCACCATATTCATTTAGGAACAACTAGACTTCGTGCTGAATGTGTTTATAAAGTATTATAGCAATCAACCAAGTAGTTTAGGAGTAAAAGCGATAAGAAATGTAAGCTAACTGCCGGATGCACCACGGATGACAGACGATGGACAAAAGGCAGCAAGCCAATCCACCAGTTAGTCGTCAAATGATCAGTAGAACGAAGTATAGCTTTGATTCCGGCTTCCCGACTAAACCTATTTTTCTTGCCTGGCAATCATATAACAATTTCCAATCACAAGAAAAGGAATTTTAAAGCAAATCAAAAAGCAAACAAAACAAAAATCTGACAACACAACAAAAACGAATTTATTTGATATTGTTACCGCTCATGATTTTAATATGTTCATAATTAAACATCGCGCTCGGTAAGATGCTTACTTTATATATCAATATTTATAGAGCATTGCTTACTTTATATATCAATATTTATAGAGCATACAGAGCATAGTCTAGAAATAATGATTCTATAATGGAGACACTATACGTACAGTTCGCTAATCACGGTTAAACACAATTATATCAAACAAAATTTTTCTAGGTAACTATATAGAAAATGGATAAGTAACAATCATATAACATTATAATGTTGAGTAATACTAACAACGCCGTTTCAAATGGAATAACATTTAGGCATGTAACAGTGGTTTAATTTATGTAAATGGAGTTGGCAGAAATGAGTGAAAAACGATGTTGTTCTCACCGATTGACCAATTTATTCTTAACTCGAAAACGAAGTAAATCGCGTGTAACGTCGTAATCTTCAGAAGTATATTCTTGTTCATGGCCATGTTGATGCACTTATCATAAACTACATTTGATGAAGTAAAACAAATCCAAATGGGGAAGTTAGGACGAGAAAATAATCAATACACAAGTTCTCGCTAAATTTTTTTAAACAAGCATGGGACTTGCAACTAGTTCATAACGTCCTCTCCAACGACACAACACCAAATGTGTATTTGATGGTCTATCTTTGTTTGTCTTAGGGTTGGAGTACTATGTATTTCATACAACAAAACTGTGGTTTATTGTATCATCGTTTATTGTATTTCGGAATGGATTAAATGCTTCTATTTATAACTGAATTTCCATATGCAAAACAAGAGGGAAAACATCCTTGATAATAAAAACAATGTTGTTGACGCAACTTTGTCGAAAGACGCTATATGACATCAGGTTTAATGGTTTCAAATGAATAACACAGCAAACGCTTGTGTTATGCGTAACAAATAAAGTTCCAAATGTTATTTCATTCCATACTGGTTTAAAATTATATCCAAATAAATCTTTATCCACAGTTTCAGAAACTTACTATGTTAACATCTATTACTTTTTCCCACATCGGTGCGAATTCACCCCCAATGCCTGCATTGTTGACTACGATGTCCAAACAACCAAAAGCTTTCTTTGCATTTTGGAATAAATCTGCAAAATAGGACGATAGAGCACGTCAAGCTTTTGTCGACACAGTGGTTTAAAGAGTTACTACATGCATATATATACATTGAAAAAAATTATAAATACATAAATGTACATAGAAAACGTGTCTACATACATACATACATACATACATACATACATACATACATACATACATACATACATACATACATACATACATACATACATACATACATACATACATACATACATACATACAGGGGCCCCGAGTGGCCGAGTGGTCTAAAGCGCTGTCCGTTACGGATCACTGCCATCTCACCTCTGTCTGCGTGGGTTCGAGTCTAGGATTCAAGAATGTGGATATGTGAGAAAGCTTGCCAGTAGCTTCTCGTGGGTCGGTGGTTCTTTCCGGTGATTTCCCGGTTTCTTCCTCCACCATTAATACTGGCCGCCATGAATAGCCTATCATGTGCTGAAAAATGGCGTTAAGCCCAACAACAACAACAACTACATACATACATACATACATACATACATACATACATACATACATACATACATACATACATACATACATACATACATACATACATATTGAGAGGGGAGATAATCTGGTCTAGACATAGTGAGTCGTGCGTGTTGGTGATTCCTCAAATTATGTAAGGTTGCCGTCTGATTGTTAGTGACAGACATATCGTTCCAAACGGTATTGCACGAAGATCTTTCCACACGCATCTACCCCTTGATACATACGTAGGCTTTGAACACTTTCTGCAGATCGTATAATTGGAATACCCATCTCTGTATCTGTCTGTCTCTCTGTCTATCTCCATAAACATACACGTGTATGTGTGCACACACACACACAACTGGAATTCTCTCTCTCTCTCTCTCTCTCTCTCTCTCTCTCTCTCTCTCTCTCTCTCTCTCTCTCTCTCTCTCTCTCTCTACCTCCATCTCTCTCTCTTTCTCTCTCTCCATAAACTTACACGTGTATGTGTGTGTCTACACTCACACACACACAATGTCATGCCTACACGTGTATTCTGTAGCATTAGCTTACACTTGAAAACATAAGTGAAGGTAAAAGTCAAGCATGCTTTTCAGTGGACGTATGCATTATCTTGCTCTTCAAAACTGTGCTTACTTTGATAGCAAGAAAGAAGTACCTACTGGTCATTTCATCAAGTGATGTCACATCGCATGGTACAAATATTGCTTTTCCGACGCCATATTGTGACGTAAATTCTTGTATTGTCAGCTCCCCTTGCTTATGGTTCAAGTCTCCTATTGCAACCTGAAATTTAAAAAAAAAAAGCATATTGTACTCAGGTTTAATACTGCCTTCTGTACAAACATTACATTCAAGGTAGGAGAGTAATGGTTGACTTACACATAACTATACAGACTGGCATCAAAGGAAGCCGTCTGCTTTGCATGTATGTAATGCATGTAAAAAGAATATCGTGTTCCCTTTTATATTATCATTTTTTGTCATTTTAATATGGGAAATTCTTGTAAACTGTCAAGTATCTAATAGGAAGTCTGCACGCGGCTGTCTTTATGGACAAAACGAAATAACAAGATTTGACAGTTCTTGAAAACGGACGGCAAGCACAATAACTTATTTGATGATACGTCAAAACAAGCACTAATGCATTCACATCATTTCAATGAAACCTGCTACATAGTCGTTAGAGTATCTGACGTAATTTAAGAAACTTAAATCATGGCTGTTTTAAGGACGTAACATGAAAAGATTATCTCCTTACTCAGTTTAGATACACACACTCGCGCGCGCGTTTATTACATCCGAATTTCTCTATACATGCATGATATATTTTATGAAATAGGGGTTGATCGTCCCATGGGCACAATATGCGAAACTAATGACGAACATGTGAAGGAAAGTAGTGCAAATATTGAGAGAGAGAGAGAGAGAGAGAGAGAGAGAGAGAGAGAGAGAGAGAGAGAGAGAGAGAGAGAGAGAGAGAGAGACAGACAGACAGACAGACAGACAGACAGACAGACAGACTTGTCAACAGCGCAAACACAAAACGTTTTTCTACATTCTGAAATGAACTAGTGAAGAAAGAACTAGATTCATTAAAACACTAAACAATAGAAACCCCCAAAAAGTCTTGACTCCTACAATGTTTGAATGACTGATTAGTTCAACAAATAAGAGATAACAAGTTAAAGAACTAAAGAAGACATAGTTTCAAAAAAATTAAAACGGGTAAACTACATCTTTAATTTTTGCTGCCTTCAGCCAAAATAAAGTTATATACAAGAATTAAATTATCGTACATATCACTGAGTGAACTAAA